AGAAAATTAAGTCGTTATAACGAGAAAACAACTCCCGTTATGTCGAGATCACGAGAAAATTAAGTTGTTATAACGAGAAAACCACTCCCGTTATGTCGAGATCACGAGAAAATTAAGTTGTTATAACGAGAAAACCACTCCCGTTATGTCGAGATCACGAGAAAATTAAGTTGTTATAACGAGAAAAAACAACTCGTTATGTCGAGATCACGAGAAAATTAAGTCGTTATAACGAGAAAACAAGAAGGAAAAAAATAATAATGCATTAGAACTTCCGTAAAAGATGGCTTTTGTGTGTAGAACATATTTTGCCCCTTATCTCAAGAATCAGTGAAAAGTATCTTCGGAACCTTCTGTCAACATTATGTCAACAGACACAGCATGGCCATGAGTTACAGACGTCATCACCACCATACGTTTGCTTTGACTTTAGTGTAACAGCAATTAATTTAGGGCACCATTTATAATAATAATCAAAAACAAATTACAATTATTATTTGTCACGTCTTTTGAAATAACAGTGTTAGAGTTGCACTAGCTGTTTGTTTGAAATTTGCTTTCTTTAGTATGTAATACAAACAAATTGACTGCAAATGATAGTAAAAATATGTCATAGAAGCGGTAATTTCTACTGTTTTCCTTGCATAATTTACAATAGTATGTTTTTTCATAATTTCATTGCAAGTGCATGTAAACTAAAAACATCAATGTTTTGTCTGAGAAGGAGAAAAAAAATGCAGATACTATAAGCACTGATAAAAATAAATGAACAACACAGTTATTAAGTAGATTGATGCTAGAACTGTTGGCATTAAGCAATCAGGCATTTTTATATCTGTGCAATTAGACTATGATATTACAAATGTCATATTCTGCTCAGTGTTAAACAACTCAAAAGTTGTTTAAAAGACAATTAAAAAAGCAAACTGACAATACTGTTAAAATACATTACAATACAAATACAAGTGACTCTTACGTAAAATGTTATACTTGTATTACAATCAGGGATTTCATTGAACATTCATATCTGATGTCCTACAATAAGTATGTAATATGCAGTAATATTTTAATCCAAATTATTGCACTGCCCTTGTGTTATGCGCATGGGAAAACACATCAAATGCATTCAACTCAACATCACAAAAATCTCTCAAAAGCATGTGAAAGTGAAACTCCATGCTTATAAGCTTCTTTAACGGTTTATAATGCTATTATTAAGTGTTTTGGACCTCTGCCTCTGCAGCTCTGCTGTCATTTTTACAGATATGTGACATTGCTAATGTAGTTTATGAATGCACGCCAGCAAGATTCTCCTTTCACCAATGAGAAATCTTTTGAGATTCTTCTGACCTGCAGCGACCCATACTTGGAAGGAGGTGACTTGCATGTGCAAACTTGCGACAGACATGTATCCCAGAATGCATCTCCCACATCATTTTAAAATACTACTGTGGTTGTGTCATGAAATGTAGTTTTAAGGGTTTTTTTTAGTTAAAATGTAGTTTAAACTTTAAATATAGATTTTTATATAATAGATTTATGTGTTTAAAGCAAAATTGTATTTTTGTACAGGATGATCAGGACCCCAAAACAAAGCAGAGTTTATTCTGTGATAACGGCCAGCCGACTCTACATTATCCCACTAATTATATGGATACATACCAAATAAATATGTGAAAACATGAAATATTGATTTGAAGTTTTTATTAGCTTATTTGTAGGTCAGCTTACAATTCCTGCTAAGAAAAGCGACAGTGCAGGAAAAAATAAATCTATACAAGCAAAACAAATCACTGCAAAATATTAAAATATTCATTATGTGCAAAGAAAAAAAAATTAAAAATCAAACTAACTCTTAAATTCCCCATCAAACGAAAAAAAATTTTTATATAATAAACTACTTAAAATATAATAAATCTCTTAACTTCTTGTCAAGACAAAATACACTTCACACATCTCATTCTAGGTCAAATATACTGCAGAATATGGAGCAGAATTAAAAATGACACAATCCTCTCTGCTCTTGTTGCTGTTCCATGGTTTGCTCTATCTGTAAGACAAAACGTCACAAAAATGTTTCAATAAACTTTTTATTTTCAACTTTTTAACTAAACCTTACCTTTCACATCAACATTTCATGTGTTCTAAGGCCTCTAAATTGTAAAAAAAACAAAAACAAAAAAAAAACTGCTGTACACAATCTACTGCCATGCCTATAATGATAGTTAATCCATTTGATCAAGTAAAAGGTATTTTACAGAAGTACAACTCTCCAGGCCTACACTTCACATAATAGGCCTGTAGGTGACACCAAGGCTTCATTTAAACATAAAGCAATAAAACATTTGTGAACCTTTGTACATCTTTTCATATTAATTGTAATTAAAATGCATTTTGGGGCAGAAGGACAGAAGCTCAAGCCCCCAGAGGAAAAAGCAAACAAAAAGACAGGAACCATGACATGAAGGTGGATGTTTTTACAATCATACTAAAATAACATTTACTTGAATAAACTATCATTATAGGCATGCAGTAGATTGTGTAAAGCAGGGTTTTTTTTTCAGTTTAGAGGCCTTAGAAAATTGATATGATAGAATTTATATGGTTAATCAGTCATTAACAAACTTTATTAAAGTTGGAAATGTTTAAATAAATACTTGTTTAAAAAAGTTTATCATATTTCACATACCTTTGACAAAAAGCTGTGTGCTTGGATTTTTATGTGCCTTTGTGATGTAGCAGATGTACTTTCCTGAATCATTAAATTGAAGGTTACTGAGTTTGAGCGAAAAGTTTCCTTTCATATACTCAATAGGGAAGGTTTCAGCTCTGTTTTTGTACGCCGAGTCCTGCCTCTCCACCGATCCTTCACCTTCAATTATGTCATAAACATTTTGGCTGCTGTTATGTCTCCAATAAACCGTTATATCTTCTTTTTTAAGATGATTGTCAATAGAAGAACAGGGCAAGACAGCAGAGCCTCCGACTTCACCTTCAACAGTGACCTGCAGACATGCTGAAAAAAGCCTTTAAAAATAAATTCTAAGAGGCAAATGCCACCTCCTTCCTAATAATAATAATAATAAATAATAATTAATGATATGCTACTGATAAAAATATTTGGACACATCCAGTGGAAATGGCTACACTCACCTTTGTTTAACAATACTGCAAACACACAGATACAGAAACAGCAGCACCTGTAAAAAACATGTGTATGTTATATACATTTACACCAACAACAAAAAATGACCAAAATTACAAAAGTGACTTTTTCCACCAGGTATACACTGCACTGGCTGCTATTTGCACCCCAATAGTACAAGTCTGTACTGGAGGATATAGCTTATTCTGACTATGGTTTCTTGTTTCCTGTACTATGCAATGGTGCAGCCAGAGCACAGTCAAGCTATGTATTTGCTTTCCAGATTAATCGAATTCTGTGCTGAGCTGTTAAACTGCAGCAGCGTGGTGCAATGACACTGCAAAAACACTACTGCATTTAAAAAAGCCTTTATATTACAGTACTTTTCAGGGCATAATTACAAACCACTGTTGTAACATAATCTTCCCCATAGTAGTTTGGAATTCATTATAGGAATGAATTCATTATTCAGGACTGAGCTACACTGATGATATTCATACTGCACATGCTCAGTTAGCCCCTCGTCCTTCCTAGAAGAAAGCTGCCGCATGTGAGCATTCCTTCTGCAAAAAAAATAAAATAATTTAAATCATTTTCTTGGTAATAAAGTTTTTTTTTTGTGATCAGATTTTTTGTCGTACCGTCTAAGCTGTTTGGGTGAAGTATTCATATAATTTTAATTAGTGTTTTCTTAGCTTCTAATAGCTAGCATGTGTCAAAGATATTGTGTCATGCTAGTATAGCAAGTTTTATCACAGCTGTCAGTGTAGGGACAGCTGCAACACATTTTCACAACCGTCCCAACGTGCTGTCCCTTACCACAACATTGATGTAAAAGCTTGCCATACCATTACAAAATTATGTATTAGTTAATAAAGAACCCCTTTCAATAGTCAGTTTTTTTTTTAACTGGAAGACCTCAGTCAGTCTGTGTCGGCCACAACACCTCCAGCACTACCACACTGAGTACAGGTGCCCCACAGAGCTGTGTGCTCAACCCACTGCTCTTTACATTGCTGACTCACGACTGCAATGCCAAGTTCAGCTCCAATCACATCATCAAGTTTGCTGATGACACAACTCTGGTAGGTCTCATCAGCAACAATGATGAAACACTACAGCAGAGGTGCCCAAACTCGGTCCTGGAGGGCCCTGCAGAGTTTAGCTCCAACTTGCCTTAGCACACCTGCTGGGAAGGTTCTAGTATGCCTAGTAAGAGCTTGATTAGCTGGTTCAGGTGTGTCTAATTGGGGTTGGAGCTAAACTCTGCAGGACACCGACCCTCCAGGACCGAGTTTGGGCACCCCTGCTCTACAGGAAAGAAGTGGCACAACTGGTTGAATGGTGTAGTGCAAACAACCTGTCCCTCAATGTGAGTAAGACCAGGGAGGTTGTGATGGACTTCAGGAGAAACTCTGTTGACCACTCCTCACTGACCATCGATGGCTCGGCCATGGAGAGAGTCAGCAGCACTAAATTCCTGGGAGTGCATATTACAGAGGATCTCACCTGGAACATCAACATCACATCACTCTCCAAGAAGGCCCAACACTAATGAGCTTCGTTTGATGGTCAGGAATATAAAAATGAACAAAATGCTGTCAATCTACAATTCTCCACCGTATTTACTATGCTGTGCGCAACTTCATGTAACTCAAAAACTTGCGTACACGAGCTGAGACCAGACGTGAGATTTGATCGTAGCCACCGCTCACGTCCATATTGATAAATTCCAAATTTTGCGCTAAAACGACCGTACACTCAATTTTCTGTCGTACGTTCGTTTCGTAAATGAGGCCCAGTCTGTGAGTCAGAACAGCCGGCATTGTAGTCTACTCTACCAGGATCAATAAACAGTCCTCCATAAAATGTGCTGCACACATCTGAATATTTGGGTTGAACTGTTCTGGAACAGTGTTGTAAATACAACTTAGCCACTGATTTCTAGTTGTGTCCTCTTTTGGAATGCCAAACAAAGTAGTTTCACTTTCACAATGAAACACAGCGTCACACACGGGCGGAGGCCGGCGGCTATGAGGAACGGCAGGCGGGCTGAGTGAGCGGAGACCGGTGGTCTTGAGAACGGCACGGCCGGCGGGTTTGTGGCAACCACATGTGACGACACCGGGCTGGACTCCGCTCCCAGCAAGCAATAGCCGACATTTCAACGTCTCGGTTAAGTATAGACCTGATATAGTCCGGCTATGTGCAACCCACTTCTAGCCCAAATAACCAAGAATTTGGTTTCATGTCATTTTTTGGCAAAATAACTCGTGAGATGTATGATATACCATCATGTAAGCAAAGTCAACAGCGTTTACAAGGTGTTTGGTTTCATTTCTTTGACATGTTCAATACATAGCCTGTGCGTAGCCACGATTTAGCTTGTAGTCCGAGCGGCTATCTGTAGCCCACTTATAGTCAAACCTGATTCACTGTAGTTTTTGGCCAGACAGCGCATGAGATGGTTGATACCCCATCATGTTCGCAGTGTCAAAAATATCTACAAAGATATAAGTGTCATTTCATGACATGGTCTTTATGTAGCCACGATTTAGCTCTAAATTGGACGGGCTACGTGTAGTCTGCTTTTAGCCCACCTGGTGAAATCGAGGCAATCTGTGGTCTAATTTTAACGGCTTGGCTATAGCCCTTTACCAGAAACCAGACCAGCGATGAGCATAGACAAAATAGCCTTAAAATTGTTTACATGTCATTTTTGCCCACGCAGCTTCTTATCAAATGCAAGTAAACTTTTGAATCATTTAAATTAGCATTATTTTATATTTTATTTAATTATTTTTACAGCATTATTAAATATAGCATTATTTATTATGCCAAAAATAATGCTAATTTAAATGTTTCAAAAGTTTACTTGCATTTGAT